GCTGTGAACACAACTAACAAAAACTGTTGGCCTCATGTAGGTTACATTCTCATGAGGTAAGGGGTGATAAGCAAATGAACACGTACATGTATAGAATGGCAGATGGTGAGAGGTGATGTGGGGAAATGGAGCACGGAAGGGTGGATGAATGAGGTGAGGGGACGGCATCAGCGGGGGCTGAAGAGGTGCACAGGCCTTTGTGGAGAGCTGAGTCAAGGGCGTTCAGACAGAAGGAGCAGCGCCGGCCACCACCCCACAGTGGGGTGAGCTTGGAATGTTGGAGGAATAGCAAGGGGGTCACTGTGGAGGGCTGGTAAGGAGGGAGAGGAGGGGAGGGTGAAGGAGGTGAGCTTAGGGAGGAAGAAGGCATGAGATTGCAGGGCCTATGGGACTTTGGCGCTCACTCTGGGCAAGTCACGGAAGCCTTGGAGGGTCCTGAGTAGGGTAGGAACATGATCCGACTTGGCTGTTCAGAGGGCTGTTTGAATGCTGTGTTAGGTCCAGGCCATGACAGGGGTTGAGGCAGAGACTCCCGCAGGAGGCTGTCGCCATCATCCAGGTCAGAGGCGAGGGCGGCCAGCGCTGAGCCGAGTGTGCAGGTGGTAAGAGACAAATTCTTGATATGTTTGGAAGGTAAAGTCTGTAGGATTTTCTGATGGGTTGTATGCAAAGAGTGACAAAAAGAAATAAGTCCAATACGGCCAGAGAAGCTAGAAGGATGAGGCGAGCATTTACCCAGCTGAGAAAAGCTTTGGGAAGACTGGGAGTTCTGCCATGGGTCTTGCTAAATGCAAGATACTTATTAGCTATTCAGACAGAAGAGGAATGGAGTCGGCAGGTAGAGATGCAAGTCTGAGGTTTGGAGAAAGGGTCTGGGCTGGTGACACACAGCTGGTGGTTATTGGAAGATACATAGATTATATTTAACACCAGGAGGCTGGACGTGATAACTAGGGAGTGAGTGTGGACACAGGAGAGGTCTCAGGATCTACCCCTGGAGCGTCCCAATGTTAAGAGGGTGAGAAGATGAGACAGAGGTCAGCAAAGGATTCCAAGAAGAAGAAACAAGCACGTGAAGGGCAGAGCTAAGAAAGAACAGTGTTCTGGGGCAGGGTGCCCTGTAATCCCAGCACTTTGGGAGGCCGAGGCGGGCGGATCACGAGGTCAGGAGATCGAGACCATCCTGGCGAACGATGTTGAAACCCCGTCTCTACTAAAAATACAAAAAAAAATTTGCCGGGCATGGTGGCGGGCGCCTGTAGTCCTAGCTACTAGGGAGGCTGAGGCAGGAGAATGGCGTGAACCTAGGAGGAGGAGCTTGCAGTGAGCCGAGACCGCACCACTGCACTCCAACCTGGGCAACAGAGCGAGACTCCATCTCAAAAAAAAAAAAAAAAAAAAAAAAGAACAGTGTCCTAAGGGCCAAGGGTAATAGTGGCTCAAAGACAAGGAGTGATCAGCTGTATCCAAAGCTGTCAACAGATCATGTAACACGGTCCTGGAGCACAGAGCACTGGGTGCAGTAACGGTGATCACTGATGGTCTGGACAGGAGATGTTTTGGTGCAGCAGTGGGAAAGAAAGCCCCATCAGAGTGGATTCAAGAGAGAATGGGAGGACAAGAATCACAGACAACAGGTAGAGGCAACTCTTGAGGAGTTTTGTTGAAATACAGAAGGAGATAACCTATGGTTATGAGAAGTAGAAGAAGGAGGCATTTGTCTAGGTTTGTAGTCGGGGGAGATACTGCTGACATCTTTGTAGATGACACCAACCACACTGGTACAATGCACGGATCCACCATGGTCTGCATGGTTCCCTGTTTCAAAAGCTGCACAGACACTATTCCAGCAAGAAAGGGCAGAAGGTTGCATGAGCTGAGGAAGTCACCATTTTACTGGTGACCCACAGGAAACCAGACACAGTTGTTGCTCCTACGCATAAGCATGGAGCTACCTGCAAGGCACCCACAACAGCAAAACCATCTCAGTGTCATCATCTCTAATGGCGAAAATATTTTCCTGGACTGCACAGCAGGTAACATGATGGCTTTGCATTTGAGGCCTTCATCCTCTTGAGAGAATTCCTAGGAGTGTTACTGCTTCCTGACCACTGCAAGACACATCTACCTTGCTTAAGTACAGATGGAGACAGGGCTCCGTCCTCGGGAAGTTTCCTCTGTAGTGGAACCCAAGTGACCCAATCTAATCTAATTCTTCCTTTTAATGCACTGTAGCATGAGAGGCTCTCAACCATATTCATCTCTAATTAAGCATCTCTGGACTAGAGCAATTACTGTAGCTACTGCTGTTGATAACAATCATTTCCTCGGTCTCTTTGTGGTAGGCTGCTATGTGTTCTCAATCGTTCACCCATGCTTCTCTGAAGGTTCAGCACCCTTCTTGGCCCCGTTATCTCTGAGGGTGGCCATGGGACTTGCTTTGGCCAGTGGAATGTGAACAGCTAAGACAGAAGCCACATTTAAGCATAAGCCTTAAGTTGCTGGTGCGGTTGGCTCTAGGCCCCATTTTGTGAGCATCTGCCCTCAGCCATGACAACTACAAGGCCTACCACCGAGGGTGAGGGCTCCTTTGACCTGGGCTCTGGAATTGAAGGGCACGCACAATGAGGTCAAGCCCAGAGTCCAGCTGACGGCAGAAGAGCTGCAGCTGACCACCATCCTCAGGTGCCATGAGCCAGGTGTAAAAGTTGCTGGTTGTAAGCCGTGGAGAGTTTGGGATTGTTTATTCCTACAGCAAAAGCTGACTGATACACTCTTTTATTAGACTGTCAAATTTATCTAGTGAAAGAACCATGCTTGTTCTTTATGATATGCCCCAATACCCCTAATAAGAATTGTAGGCCCCTAATAAGTACGTAGATAACAGGCCAAGGGTCACTGTGTCCATTTTGCTCGGTTGGCTGGCATTTGGAATTAACTCCTGGTTCCTATCACTGACACACTGGCAGTACCATTATCAGCTCCTTAAAGTCATGTTCAAAGTCACTGTCATCTTCCCTTCCTACTTCCTGATTTGGGCTATTGAGTTATGGCTGATTGACAAGGAAAACCCAAATAATTTAGGCTTCAAAAAGAAGTGAGTCCTGGCCATGATATATGCAGTTTCTATTCCTAAGTACACCCAAACAGTCAAGGCTGAGTAGAGAAAGTCGGCTTTAATTGTGCTTGTGTGCTCAGCTCTGTGTGCCTTTTGAGCTTAAGACAGGCCACAAGCTTTGCCCAGGGAGTCCCACTGCAAAGAAAACAAACTCTTGCTTTTGCTTATTCAGTAGGTTCCCTTTGCTTATTTAGAGACTGAAGTAGGTATTGTGTGGGAATCAGAGGCAATAGAAGGCACAGTTCTGGGTTTCAAGGGGCTTATAGTGTAGTTTAAGAGACAGGATATATGTGTAAAACTCCAAGACAATCGGCCGGGCACAGTGGCTCATGCCTGTAATTCCAGCACTTTGGGAGGCTGAGGCAGGCGGATCATGAGGTCAGGAGATCGAAACTATCCTAGCTAACATGGTGAAATCCCGTCTCTACTAAAAATTTAAAAAAATTAAAAAAAAAAAATTAGCTGAGCATGGTGGCAAGCACCTGTAGTACCAGGTACTCGGCAGGCTGAGGCAGGAGAATCGCTTGAACCTGGGAGGTGGAGGTTACAGTGAGCCGAGATCATGCCACTGCACTCCAGCCTGGGTGACAGAACGTGACTCCGTCTCCAAAAAAAAAAAAAAAAATCCAAGACAATCAAGAGATATATACCGCTTAATTCTTTAAAAGAGGCAGTGCAGTGTGGTAGGAAAGAGAGCTGGTCTAGAAATCAGGAGACCTGATTCTAGTTTTGGCTCTATTGCTAGTTAATTAAAGTCACAGGAAGATCTTTTCACCGTTCCGTGCATGAATAACTGGTTAATATAAAGCCCCTCATATTTCCAAGGTTTCATGACTCCATGAGATACCAACCAGCAGCACACTGGGAACCAAGTGCTTAGTGCATGGCATGGGTAGGAGAGGCTGTGCATCTGGAGGTCATCTGTCTTCCTGTCCCTCACCCCAGCTCCAAGCTCATCTGGTCCTAGCCTAGTCTGAGAGGTCACTTATGTCTTGAGTCATGGGCCGAATCTACTGGAGTTGAACTGAAAATAAAATTTAAGCAAATGAGTCCAGAATTGTTCTCAGACACCACAAACTGAAGAGGAAAGAGTAGGAGGAGTTCTCCTAAAGTGGACTGAGCCCCCAGGAGCACCTTGGGCTGGGGTTTGCTGGCACCTCCCCAGGGCACCTGAAGCCACTGTGTTCAGTACCTGGGGTGCATCCATAATGGGCCAGGCTTCTGCAGGAGTGGCAGAAGAGGTGTTGTCCATGTGACTGACATCTGAATAGACAATACCTCTCCAAACCCTTCCCCGATTCAGAGAGCTGAATACCCTCCTCTCTGGGTAAAATCACTTCTCACAATGACAGGTGTGGTGTCCCCAGTGGGGCTCCTGAGGCCTGGACTACCCTATTTGACAGGACGGGAGGGCTGGGAGAAAGGTCAAAACAGAACTTTTAGAACATCCACTGATGCTTTCCTGATTGTTCTTTGGAAAAATACAGAAAGTAGAGATAATCTCATTGGCTGAAGTGCTCTGGAGCCTCGGGGATTAGCCACCTGGCTCTTCTGCTGCAAAATGTATTTAAATCCCCATCCCAGGGCCTCCGGGGTGGCTCAGATGGCCATGGGATTACTTCCTTCGTGTAGTATTCATGTGGCTGAGTGACTGCTGTGAACTGTCTCCAGGAGTTTCCAAGAGCTGGGACCATAGTGCGTTTTAAGGTACTTATATCAGAGTTGGGTTCTTCAGCTCAAAGGAACTCATTTTAAAACAAAAACAAAACCCCTCCATTTATATGAAAGCAGGTCCCTTTGCAGACTGTTCTTGGCAATTCAGTAAACGACAGCAGAAAGTGGCAAGGAGATAACACTGTACACAAGAACAGGCTTCACTTACTTGGGACTCCGGACACCAGCCGCAGGGGGCGCAGCACGCGGAAGGCCCTCAGCGCTTTCACATCAAATCCGGCCCCTTTCCCTCCGAGAGCGTTCGCCCCATCTGCTTTGGTTGCTTGTTCTAAAATTGCACTAAAAAGCCTAGAAGAGAGGAAAGAGAGGAGGACTGTCAGGACTGGGGTTTTTTTTTGCCCAGCTGGGCAAAATTGCGCACGGGTCTCCAGCCCAGGAGTGGGCGCTGTGGGCACGCGTGGAGTCTGTGGGTGGTTGTAAGCTGACATCCCCTCAGTGTGGGTGGTGGCCATGCCCAGGGTGCCACCATGGCCCAGGGAGGCCTGAGCGAGCTGAGGGGCAGGCCCTCTGCCATCATAAAGGCATGAGCTGGACAGGCGCTGGACAAAAGTGGGAAGCAGGTGACATCTGTCGTCAGTCCTCATCTCCTTGAGGAGCCCTCCGCCCTCTCCATGATATCCCAGCACCCCTCCCAGGGGTGCCAGCAACCATGTGTTCTATTTCCCCACCTCCTTCCTTCTAGAGACTCCCTCTCTTTGACTTGTTCTTGGCCCATGGAAATCTTTTTGCTGGCCTCCTTTTTGAGGTGGGTGCTGCACAAATGAATGAATGGTTCAGTGGTTAAACAAGAAGGTCTCAAGTGGGGCAAAACCACACATGCATGTAACTGAGATGCAGGGCTTTCGGCCTTGCCACTATAGGTCTGAGCTGGCATATTCACTCCTCCAACAAACAAGAACACCTGCGACATGTCGGGCACTGTTCTAGACACTGGGGCTACAGTAAAATGGACAAAGCCCTTCCCCTCATGGAACTTACATTCTAGCAGGGAGACAGACAACAAACTGAGCAATCAGTAAATAGACACTGCAGCTTAGAGTGATGAGTGCTGAGCAGGAGGGGCAGCGAGGGGCTCTGCAGAGAGAGGGTGAGGGCTGCCTCCCTTCCCACCTGAGAGGTCTGCACAAAGAACTCCCTGCAGGTGACACTTGAGCAGAGGCCTACGGGAAGTGAGGGTGGGACCCACTTCGTTATCTAGAGACTGTTCCAGGCAGAGGAAGCAGGCGAGCCAGGGGCCCAAGGGAGGAGCAGGGTGTGCATTAGAGGAACAACAGCGACCAGTGTGGCTGGAGCAGAGCAGGGAAAGTGGAGAACTGTGGGAGAGGAAGTTGGAGAGGAAATAGGGAACCCCACCAGGTGCTGGTATCCTCTCTGAGACAGAAGCCACTGGGGGACTTTGAGCAGGAGAGTGACATGACCTAACTACAGGTCTAAAAGAATCATTCTGCTGTTGTGGGAGACTCTCCTATTGGGGGCGAGGCCAGAGACCAGCTGCTGTAGTCACTCAGGTGCGAGACGCTGGTGGCTCAGAACGAGCGGTGGCGTTGGAGGTAGTGAGAAAAAGTTGGATACCAGATTTACGTTAAGATAAAGCTGGTGGGACTGGCCGATGGACTAGATGTGAGGTGTAAGAAAGAGAGGGGAATCAGAGAAGATTCCAACAGTTTGGGCGTGAGCAACAGGAATGATGAGATATGGTTGAATGGACATCATGGGTTCTGCCGAGAACTTCTTGAAGCTTTAGTTGTTGCTTGGACATCAAATGCATGTCTTGAGTTGGTTCTACTGTGTCTGGAGGTCAGTGGGGAGGTCCAAGCTGGAGACAAAAGCGCAGTAGTTGCATAGTTCATATTTAAAGTCAAATCATATGTGACTACCTAGGAGGCCAGCGCAGAAGGTGAGGATGTGAAAGGACCCAACCCTGCAGTGCTCCCACACTGAGGGGTCAAGAGAGGAGAAAGCAATAAGAGAGACTGACTGCAGAGCAGGGACGTGGAGAGAACAGCGCCCCACGAAGCGAGTGGTCAGTGAACAGGCGGTGGTGTCACATGCTGCAGAGACATGACTGGACACTGACCGCTGGGTTTACCAACATCAAGACCATCCAGACCTTGGAGGCATCTGTGTTGGTGGAGCGATGTGGACAAACACCTAGCAGACATAGGTTCAAGAGAGCATGGGGGGAGTGGGAGACCATGAGGATAGATAGCCCTAGCCAACAGAAATACGAGGCAAGCCACAGGTGTGAGCTGCATGTGTAATTTACCTTTGCTAGGAGCCACATTAAAAAAGTAAAAACAGGCAAAATTAACAGTGATCATAGATTTTATTTCACCCAACATAGCCAAAATATTATCATCTCAACATGTAATAAATATAAAAAATTATTCAGGAGACATTTATCATTCCTTGTTTTGTAACTAAGTCTTTGAAATATGCTGTCTATTTTATCCTTATGATTATTATTATCGCAATTCAGATTAGCCACATTTCAAGTGCTGAATGGCCACATGTGGCCACCGTAGAGACAACTCTTTCGAGGAATTTTGCTCTAAATGAGCAGAGAAAAAAAGGGGGTTACTAGAAGTGGGAGTGGAGTCAAGAGGGTTTTGTTTCTGAATGGGAGATAAGACAGCATTTTTCTATGTGATGGGAATCATCTAACAGAGGCAGAAAATGTGATGAGATAGAAGTGAGAGAGAACCGCTGCTGGTAGGATGGAGCTCCTTCATTGGCAAGAAGGGGATGGGTGCACACGAAAGGTACCCACCTGCGCAGGGGCAGGGCTGTGTGCCATGGTTCAGTAAGAAGGCACATTGGCAGCACAGACGCGTAGTTGTGGGAATATATGAAAGTCCCCTTCTGACTGCATCTTTCTCAGGGAACTGGGGAACGAGGCCATCAGCCGAAAATGTGAAAGGGGAAGGAGATGGGAAGTGTGAAGAGAGAGGCAAGGGTGCTGAAAGAATTCTCTCACAAAGCAGAAGGGTGAATGGGGTGGGGATAAAGCAGGAGGGCCCTCAGGTGTCACTAAGGGCTTCCTCGAGGTTGGAGGTCATGAGTGTAAAGTGAGACTCTGCTCAACTTTGCAGATTTCTTGACCCTTTCCAGGTACCAAGCAGATCTCTGCTTGGACTTGATTAGGGTTGGCATTTTTCCAGGTGTGCAAGATAAACAGACAGAAGACTAAGAATGCTGAGCATAAATGCAAACCTTGAGCGAGTGCAGCAGTGGCACATGGCATCTGAGCTGGCTGGAAGGAGGGTGGACATGGTGGTGGGGATGAAGAGTACGGTGGGACGAAGGGATTGTGGGAGTCAGGGTGAGAGAGGGAAGGGACTGGAAAGACAGTGGTGCTGGTTAGACAGTAGGATGTTAGATTTGGGATTATGGGGGAGGTGTTATCAGTGGTGACAGGGATATTGGCTATAACCATGGGAGTGGGCCTACTGAGATAGGCTCCCCAGAAGGCAGATATCCAGGAACCAAGAAGCTACTGCAGGGAAAGTAGAGAAGAAGTGAGTCTTGGAGTGAAGTAGAGTGAGCCAAGAGCCCAAGTCCTAAAGGCACAAGGAGGGGTGACTCAAAGGTCTGCGGAAGGTTGCAGTAAAGAGAAGTAAGGCATAGAGGATCTGATGACACAAATGTCAAAAGGGAGGGGGGGGTGCAGTAGAGCAGAAATCAGGAGCTGGCAGGGCCCCCTTAGACCTGGCAACCTGGTACAGTGGAAGGAGGCTTCTGGGACAGGAAGTGGCCGCCTGCTGAGAGACAGCAGAGAAAGCTGTACCCTCACGGGAGAATCTGGAAGTGACCAGAAAGGAAACTGAGAACTGGGCCACCTGTTTTGCAAACAAAGTTTTGCTGGAATTCAGTTACACCCACTCATGGAGATACCGCTCTTGTCCTGCTGCTGGGTAGGGTGGAGTAGCTGGAACAGAGACTTGGCTTGCAAAGATGAAAACCAGCATCTGGCCCTTACAGAAAAGTTGACCGACCCCGAATAGGCGAGAGACTATGGGGATGGGAGGGCACAGTGGGAAGGTTTCCGCCGTGGGGTAGTGAGAAAGGAGGGGTTAGATCAGAGGATGCACAGAGCCACGTGGGAACAGGAGTCCGGGTGATGAGGGATGACTCAAGAATTTTGGGCTTTTCATGGCAACCGAGAAAAATAGGGGGAAGGGCGTGCAGGGCGATTTCTGTCCTTTATACCCAGAGAGGATGCAATGGATTCATTGGCAGCAGAGTGCACTACACGCTGGGTCATGTTTCTTCAGTAGTGGGGTCTGGGATCAAGGAGGGCGCCCAGGTATTAGGAGTGGGTCTCCATATCGGGTCTGAACTATGAGCCAGGGCAACTTTCATTCAGGAGCAATAGGCTTGAGCTCCTAAGTGACTTATGCCCCAGGTAACCGGATCTACAAATGGGAAGCTGCAGCTGGGGGATTAGCCAGATGCATTAGCAGAAGTTCAGGGCCAGGCAGGGCTGAGCCACGAGGGGATCGGCCTAGAAACGCTCCATGGAGGCCCCCAGGCACTGACTGGCTGAGTGACTGGGGTTCTGGCTCCTCTGGTCCAGAGGACGTCCCTTCTATCTGGTCTGTGTATTGGACCTCTGAGTGAGACTCTCAAGAGCGGGCTCTGCAGCCGAATGAAGTTTGAGAACCCTGTTCAGGCTGCATCTGCAGTGTCTCTCAGCCTGGAGACTTGACAGCTTCCTGTGTTAGCTGCTGAGGCCTTGAATCCCAGGCAGAAGTTGCCAGGATGGGGGAGTGGGCTTCTTTCTCTACAAGGGAGATGTTCTTTCCGCTGAAGCCCAGATCACTGAGACTGGAGGAAACGAAGACCCGTCTGCAAATTTGTCAAACAACACCCCAATGCAAACCCGATTTTGTTCCCAGTATTTCCTGCAAGAAAGCAATATGTTTATCGGAGTGAAAGATGTTCACAAAATAGGATTCAGTGAAGGGAGTGGAGATTAGACAACTTGCCCTTAACTCCCGCCTCAAGTTGAGACTCTTTATTACGTATCCGCTTTTAATTTTGAAAGGGTAGAAAATTCAAACATGGATGTAGGAGTGGCTGGTGTATTTCTTCTCAATGAGACATTCCAAAGGCAAAACCACGGCTTAGGGCCCACTGGTCCCTAAGGGTTGGGCTCTGATGTGGACGCCTGGCTGAAGGATCGCTCTGGGAGGTGTGTTTGGCAAATCTGTAGCCAGGCAGTGGAGATGTTAGAAGAAAAGGATCGTGAGGCTGTAGAATGATTGTGAGGCCCAGATAATGGGAAAGGCAGGGCCACCGCCCTGCTAGGGAGGCAGGGCAACAAAGCCTCACTGGCCGGCATGGAACCTCCTGAGCAGGAGATCCACGGAGGACTCCATGGTCCCTGGGTAGGGGGAGGTGAATCTGAGGCCACCACAGTCCCTCCGTATTTATTCAGCAGTCCCACCACTGGGGAGGCCTCTGCTTTAGGAAGGAAAGAAATGCCCTGTGTCATGTGCCACCAGAATAGCAATGCAGAGACGACGCTCTCAGCCTGGCACTCAGGCAGTAGGCAGGCAGGTCCACCTTTCTCCAAGGCAAGTCAGGCCCCCCCACCAGCTGTGTGGGAGGCCAGGAGAAACCCTTCCCTACAGCTACAGAGGAGGGGCCAAGGATAGCAGATATTTTCCAAGAGACCCAGGGAAGCAAAGGGCTACCCAATATTACTACTTAATGTTGCAAAGGAAGCAGAAAAAGGAGGCGAGCTGAAGAGAGGTGGTAAGCTGCACCCTCCAGCGATGGCGGATCGTTACAAGGATAGGTTGATTCAGACAGGATGAAGAGCCCTTAGGAGAAGAGAGACTAGGTTCCAAATACGTCCCAGTGCAAGTGCAGCCACAAGCTGGGCCACTGCTGGTGTCATAACCTCTGGGGCTTAGAAACAGGAGCACATGGCTGGGTGCGGTGGCTCAAGCCTGTAATCCCAGCACTTTCGGAGACCAAGACGGGTGGATCACGAGGTCAGGAGATCGAGACCATCCTGGCTAACACAGTGAAACCCCGTCTCTACTAAAAAATACAAAAACTAGCCAGGCGAGGTGGCGGGCGCCTGTAGTCCCAGCTACTCGGGAGGCTGAGGCAGGAGAATGGCGAGAACTCGGGAGGCGGAGCTTGCAGTGAGCTGAGATCCGGCCACTGCACTCCAGCCTGGGCGACAGAGCGAGACTCTGTCTCAAAAAGAAAAGAAAAAAAAAGAAACAGGAGCACACAACTGGATGCCTCCCTCTCTTCATCAGCCTCATGGCCTAGACCCCAGGGAGATGTGACTGGAATCTGGGCTGACCCCACAGAAAAGCCGGACCCCCTATGGTTGTGGGGAGGAGTCTAAGGGATGAAGCTGGGTCCAGACAGGCTGCAGGTGAGGCATGAAGCGTAGTCCAGAGATGCACCACCGTACTGCCTGTCAACCCAGGCAGGACCCCTCCCTCCCAGGGCTCCTGTTTGGTGCCTACTCACCCTGCATTTCTTGTCTCTGCTTCCCCGACTCATGATTTAATTAAGACCACATATGGGGCAAAGCACATATAATCAACTCCAACTCACTCCAAAATTCCAAAATTTTGCCTAAACAAAACTCGTCCCTGCAAGTCACCCTCATCCCTCCACTGGTCCCAGAAGCAGCTGCTCTCATTCCCAAGGCTCTTTTCTATGCATGTGCAAAAGGCTCCCAGGAGACTGAGGCCTTGAGAAAGATGTCGAATTCTGAAAAGGATTTAGGGGCATTTGGAACAACCCACCTTAAGGACTTCTGCTATGGTTTACTGAGTTATTCAAGGCACGCGTTTTAGCCGCTCTTTGTTTATTCTGGCATGAGCAGAAGCCGCAAAATCTCTCCTATAGCTGCATGCACACCCCGAGTGCTGTGAGCCAGAGCTAGACCTGGCTAACGACACTAATAACCTTAGTGCCCCTCGTATCACCCAAATATTCCTGAGGTTCATACGGTCAAAGTGCATCATTCATTGGCCAGGCAAAATAACGCAACAAAGAAAAAAAAGAAAAAACCCTAACGTGGTTCCAAGTAACCTCGTGAGCCATCCAGATGGCCAGAGACGAGGAAATAACTTGCAAATGATCTCGACGTCCTCCTGCGTTATTTCCTGCTGTAAAGACTAGGCACTCTCACAAGATGGTGAATGGCGGGTGCTCTGGAGACATCCACAATGGCTGTGTCTCCTCCGGGATGGCACAAAAGGATCCTCCAAAAATAGGCCTCTGGGACAAAGAGCTCCTGACATTCTGGCCTTGACTCTGCAGACTGCCAGGACTTCAAGGGAGGGAGAGTCCAAGGTGATGGCCACTTGAGCACTCACTGGTCTCAGAGTAACAAGGGACTAGCCCAAAGGAGCCGGCTTCTTCTCAAGGTAAAATCTGCTGCAATGGGCTCCCTCCTATTACAAGACAGATGTGTTGATGGAACTTCATCACCTGCGTTTTAATAACCTACACTTCACCAGTGTATGTAGGCCTGTTAGGTACAAATAGTTTATGGAGAATCTTTTTGTGGGGTTACCAACTTATTTATAAGGAGATCACTTCCACATTTTATTTCAGATTCTTTGCATTGCTGTTTTGAAAGCCTAGACGGACTCTTATGCTACCGTGGAGCAGGGTGTCTGGGGGGAAGCTGCATTTGATTGGGGTTTGGTTACCTGTCATCTTCGCCTTTCATAGTTCCCTGTTTCCTTCTCATTCACCTGTCTTGAGTAGTCTGGTTCCCTGGGGCCACAGAACCAGGCCCCCTGTAGCGTGAGAATGGGGATGTGGCCTCTGTACGAGTCCAGAGCACAGGCACAGTCCATGTGCGCCCCACCCTCACCCCACACCTGCAGACTGCATGCTCACGGACGAGCTGTTCCAAATGTGCTCAGTGATACAGCAGGGAAACTGGCAGAGGAACTGCGGGACCAGATGTGGTCTGAGATGACATGAAGTCCTTAAGCAAGAGGATATCCTTAGCGGCACCGAGCAGTGTGGGTTCCATTAGGAGCACTCAGGTCCAACCGTGTGTGTGCATGCCTGAGTGGGAGTGGCAGTGGGAGTGGTAGAGAGGGGTGTGTGTGTGCACTCCTGTGCGGGAGTGGAAGAGAGGGGTGTGTGTGCATGCACCTGTGTGGGTGTGGTAGAGAGGGTGTGTGTGTACACCTGTGTGGGAGTGGTAGAGAGGGGTGTGTGTGTGCGCACCTGCGTGGGTGTGTGTGGGAGTGGTAGAGAGGTGTGCGCACCTGCGTGGGTGTGGTAGAGAGGGTGGCATCGCCTGCGTGGGAGTGGTAGAGAGGGGTGGGAGTGGCAGAGGGTGTGCAGCGCACACCTGCGTGGGTGTGGTGGTGAGAGGGGGTGTGGCACGCCTGCGTGGGAGTGGTAGAGAGGGGTGGTGTGTGTGTGGCGCACCTGCGTGGGTGCGTGGTAGAGAGGTGTGGTGGCAGGTAGAGAGGTGTGTGTGTGCACGTCTGTGTGGGAGTGGTAGAGAGGTGTGTGTGCACGCACCTGCGTGGGTGTGGTAGAGAGGAGGGTGTGTGCGCGCACCTGCGTGGGTGTGGTAGAGAGGGGTGTGTGAATGCCTGTGTGGGAGTGGTAGAGGTGGGTGTGGCAGCTACACCGCTGGGGCAGGGTGGTGGAAGTGGTAGAGAGGGGTGTGTGTGCGCGCACCTGCGTGGGTGTGGTAGGGAGGGGTGTGTGTGTGTGCGTGCCTGTGTGGGAGTGGTAGAGAGGGGTGTTCTTGGGAACATCCTGTCCCTCTGGGGAAGTGTGAATTCAAAGTGATTTTCATGGATCCTTTCTTTTGCCTGAAGGCCAGCACAGTTAGGACCAAATTGAAAAGAGATACTACAGAAGGAAGAAGAGGGATGTACTGGTGAGATAGCCAAATGGCAAGCGATCCCCAGAGAAACTCCAGCCAGCCTGCACACTGGGGTGGAGCCACAGACGTTCATGCCACCGTTTGCAGCAGGGAGACCTGACCCCTCCTTTTCCTGGGTAAAACCTTGGATTCGGTCTGCGAGGCGGGAAACCCATGGGCAGGAAGCGCACACTCTCACTTTGCCAAGAATCTCTCTTTCCCTTTCTGTTCCTTTAGCAAAATAAATCTCATTTTTCTCACTCTCTAAATCATCTACGAGCCTAAATTTTTGCAGCCGTATGACAAGGACTCTGTCTCCAGCTAACCTAAGGAAAAGTCCCGCAACACTGGTAAGAGAAAGGGAAAGAGGCAGGCAGTGATACTTACCCCACAACCACAATGATAAAATCGAGCAGATTCCAGCCGTTGCGGAGGTAGGCATTGGGGTGAAAGAGGAGTCCATAGGCGATGACTTTTAAAAATGCTTCCACCGTAAAAATTATGAGAAAGAGATATTCCACTCGTTCCTAGGAAACAAAAACAGAAAAGAGAGAAAGATAAGTCATTAGTTTGGGGATTTGGAAAGTTTGGAACCAGCAGATCTCACAAGTAGATTGAAGACAATGCTGGCCCCACTGTAGTGGGACCAAGTGGGGACAGCCAGGCCAAATTAGCAACTCCACAGCTCTACCATGACAGCACCAAGCTACTGGGGATTACGGGATTTTCTTTTTCTTTTTTTTTCGTCAAAGTTCCCCCATTAAAACGTAAATATTAGACTAGTGGAAAAATTTCCTATTTTTTGAAACATTTTATTGAGTTAATCAGTTGACATTTCATTGTGCCCTCCCAGAAGAGAAGTCACAATGTCTCCATCTAAAGGGAAACAATGTCAGGGCAAAAAGAGAAGGGGATAAAGCAGAGCTCCTGGAAAATCGTGCTACAATTCTGCAGGCACAAGCCCTGAAGACAGCAGACTTGGTCTTGGGGAGGGTACTAGCTGAGTTCCTCCAAATGACGGAGCGAAAATGCAGCCACAAAGAAATGGAGACGGTGAAGATCTCTTAAGAGCAGCCCGGACAGAGGCCACCTGCTCACGTACACTGATCCAGAAATGTGAAATCTCTTTCTTAAGAAGATAAAACCTTCTGTCCAAAGACATCAAACATTTCAGCAGAGAAAATCAGCGTTTTGAGGATGGAGGCAGGCACTGGGTGGGGGTGGAGAATGGAAGGAGCCCCTCTCTTCCCTCGAGGGACAGAAGACAGTCTTCTTCCTCCCCTGACACCTTGAAGAAGGGCTTTGCATTTAAGGATGCAGCTCCCACCCCTGGGAGCCCAGAGCGAACAGGACAAACTTGTTGGCTCAATTAGAGCGAGCCGACTCTGTGCTGATTCATGCTCTTCCCTCACCACTAATTGCTTTCTCCCACACCCCCATCCCAAGTGCAGAACCTTAATGGCCCCCACCAGGCAAAGGCTGCCTGGATGCCTTCATGCTCCACTGCTGGCCTCTGCAGAAGCCTCAGCCATCCTTGACTGGAGTCATGAAACACCCATCCATATTGCATTTGGGCACAGGCCCTCCAGAGTGGGGCGGGTCTGTCCGCAGCCAAGGCAGGGCCATCAGGAGCTGGATGGAAAGCTCTGTAGGGAGCCTTCGGGTACCTGGGCTCCCATTCACTCCATCACAGTCCCCTGGGCATGTAGGGAGTGCCAGCTTCACTGTGAAGCAGTTTGAGGATGCAAATTAAAAACTGTAGAATTCTGGGCCCTGTCCAGATCTACTGAAACAGATCTCCTGGCTGTGAAGCCTGGAAATGTGCACTGTAGACAATTTCCAGGTGTTTCTGAGGTACCCGGAAGAACCACCAGCTCACATGCTGATGAAAGCCCAGAGGCAGAGGAAGTGGGAAGAGAGTGCGGGGGTCAGACTTAATCAGCATCTCAGAGGCAGATTCGTCCTTCCCTTCCTGCCCATTTTTGTGCCATAAAATGCATTTAGGGAGGCGGCTCCCTTGGGGTTGTGACCCAGGAACAAATCACAGTGTGTGGGAAGCTCCAATCTTCTAAAGTCAGGTGGTGTTGGGTTAAAATGTACATCAGGGCCATGTTGAAGGAGAAAACATGAGACAACCCAGCACAGGGGAACCTGAGGATGTCTGTGGGAATAGGAATAGAGGAGCTGTCACACAGCCACTCAGCCCATCTCCTCATCCCCAACCCGTGATGGTTCAGAGCTTTCATGTCTGCCACTAGATGACAGGGTCACTTCTTTCCGTATTCCCAGAAAGTTGAAGCTGAGATGAGAAAGAAGGAAAAGGAAAGGGAAACAAACAGAAGTTGGGTATCCATTAGATGTCAGGTGCTTTCATATGTGCTAGTTGTTTTCACTCTTTTATTCCATCCATCCACCCACCCACCCATTCATCCATCCATTCATCCATCTTTCCACGCACTCACCCATCCATTCATCCATTCACCCACCCACCCACTCACTACTCATCCATTCATCCATCTGTTCATCCACCTGTCCATCCACCCATCAATCCATCCATCCACCCACTCACCCTTCCATTCATCTTTCCATCCACTCACCCACCATTCATCCATCCACCTACCCACCAACTCACCACCTATCCAGCCAGCCACCCACCCATTCATCCATCCATCCATTCACCCACCTATGCACCGACCCACTCATCCATTCATTCACCCACCTGTGCGTTCATTCATCCATCCATCCATCCATCCATCCATCCATCCATCCATGCATCCATCCATCCATCCATCCATCCATCCATCCACCCACCCACTGATGCACCCATCCGTCAGTCCACCCATCCACCCACCCACCCATTCTTCTATCCATCCAACCACCCACTCATCCATCCACCCACCCACACATACATACATATATACACCCACCTACCATCCATACACCCATCTATACATCCACCCACCCATCCATCCATCCACCCACCCACCCACTGAAGCACCCATCCATCAGTCCACCCATCCACCCACCCACCCACCCATTCTTCTATCCATCCAACCGCCCACTCATCCAACCACCCACTCATCCATCCACCCACTCACCCACACGTACATACATATATACACCCACCTACCATCCATACACCCATCTGTCCATCCATCCATCCATCCATCCATCCATCCATCCAACCATCCATCCGTCCATCCATCCACCTACCTATACATTTATCCATCCATCTATCCATCTACCCATTCATCCATTCACCCACTCACTCATTCATCTATCCTATCATCCATCTACTCATCCACTCACCCACCATCCACCCATCTGTCCCCTCAGTCATTCATGATCGGTGTGGCACAACTAGTTGCATTGTCAAAAAGTGACCCTGTATCTCCCTCTGGGTTGTCTAGATAATGAGCCCTCCAGAAGAGGTAGCACTCAAGCACAGAGTCCCTCCTCCCCCTGTCAGAGAGGGCAGCAATATCCTGAAGGCTCTGAGGGCCCTATGTGCTGGGAAACTGGCATTCCCAGACAACTCCTGTAAACAGCTGGCACCCCTAGTCCAGACCACCTGGCACTAAGCAGTCTGCTTATTCCCTCATTGACAGGCTGCTTTCTCTTACTTAATTGCCCTATAAAAAGAGAGAGCTATGTTTGGGGGATGTGGTGAGGGTCCTCCACTGGGGTACAGGCTTACTGCAGGACCAGCAGCATCCTGGACCTGGCATATCTCTTTTTGAGATGGAAGGGTTGGGGGATGTGACTTCTCTTGTTGACCTTGGGCCTTGGCAAATTTTCCCAATGAAGCCTATTCCTTGATCCATGCCATGTAACATTTGTCCTGCATCCTGGCATAGAACATGGGGAGACCCAGATGGACCTGCTGGAGATCTGAGAAAAAAAGTCTCAGAAACAAACCTCGAGGATGTACTAGTACAATGCAGGGCAAATGGACAGACGATTCCAATACAATTAGTACATGGCATTCGGGAGGCAAGCACAGCTGGCTATGGATGGACTTCCCAAAGTAAGAACCTTCAAGCTGAATCTCTAAGGATGAAGAGTTGTCCAGGTGAAGAAGCTTAGGGGCTGGGGGCATGGGGTAGGGAATGTGGAAGGAGTCAGGCATTGCAGGTGGAGAGTGAACTAAGAAGATGGGAAGTATGGACAGCTCTGCGATGCAAACATTTGATTTGGCTGGGGTGAGGGTGTTGAAGTAGCAGGGCTGGAGGGCACAGCAGGAGCAAGATGACCAGGAACTTTGTGGCTATGCCTGGATGCTTGGATTCCATTCTGAGGAGAATGGGAATGACCTGGGGAGATATGCCCTGCAATCTGGCACTGGCTGGAGAATGAGTGATGGGGTTAAGGGTAGGGGGGAGCGACCCATGCAAAGATCACGGAGGCTGGAGCCACGGTAGAGGCAGTGGGATTGGTGAGACGTAGGTGGATCTGAGAGGAGAAAGCATGTGCTTTGTTTTCTGGTTGCACGTAGGGGTTGAGGGAAGAGGCAGTGCAGAGATGTGCAATGCCCCCTCCCTGAGGTTTCTAATTTGGGTGACTGTGTGGATGGTGATGCCTCTCACTGCAGCAGGGGACTTCAAGAAGAGGAAGAGGGGTTTTGGGGGAAGGTAGAGACATCAGTTATGAACGTGCTGAATTGGAGATACTGGCGATCAGACCTACAGAGGTGGGGCCCAGAGCAGAGTTCATCTTGCAGGGGAGGGCTGAAAGAGGAGAGTGTGCAGACTAAAGAGAAAAGGGCAGAGGCTGGGCTCCAAATCAGTATGGAACAGCCACTACAAATGCCAATCAGGATGTGCATCCCATCAGAAACCTCATCCCCAAGAAATCTCCTTCACATTATGCGAATTTATCTCCAGCAGAAGTTACAGGACCTCTCTTAAAATCATGAAGTCTGGGAGAGAAAGAAAGTTAAAGGTTATCTAATTAAATTCCTCACCTGAAAAACTAGGCTACTAACAAGATATTGAAGCCCGGGAGAAACACGCAGAGGACAAGAAACCAGACTTTCTGACCTTCAAGCCAAAGGTCTGTTCATCCCGTCTCACCTGCCGGGGTACTGGAGAAACAGAGTTCACTGGTCCCACTTATCCCCAGAGACATGGCTGGTTTCATGATCCTCATGGCTGATTGTTTAAGGGTCTGAGATAGAACTGAAAAGGCCCAGGGAGCCAGTAAGAAGGGGTCTGAACAAGAACCCAGAGAAGGACAGCTGCCTATTGTTGAAAAGTCTGGGACACGGTCACCGTGAGGCATGTGTGTGCACTGCGTGTGTGCGTGTGCTGACTAAATGCTGCAACAAGCAGTGTTATTCAGTCTGACCTTAGAGGCATGACTGCCCTTCTAGAATTACTTAAAAAAAAAAACAACCAAAACCATAAACAAGCAAAACAGCTTGGTTAATTCCTTCAAAACATATGTTGTGCTGTCATAGAAACATCTAAGGGCGAGTATGAATGGAGTGAAGAAAATAAAAAGTTGGTCAAAGACTGTTCTCATGGAT